GCAGCGACGACAGCGGCGGCGGCGGCGGCGGCTGCAGCGACGGCTGCGACGGCGGCGGCGGCGGAGACGACGGCTGCAACGGCGGCGGCGGTGGAGACGACGGCTGCAGCAGCTGCGGCGACGGCGGCTGCGGAGGCGGTGGAGGAGGAGACACCGGGGGAGGGACAGACGGCGAGGACTGCGCCGGAGGACTACCAGAGTCAGAAGACTCGTCGACCGGGACGACCGACGGGAGGGGGGTGACGTGAGACACACCAGAGGGGGCCGGACGAGGGGGCGGGGGGGGGGAGGGGCAGGGACCACCAGGGAGGGAGGAACCAGGAAAAGGGGGGGAGTAACCGGGGGACCACGGTGGGGAAAGCGGCGGTAGAAGGAGACGGACTCGTCAAAGGTGACGTCGCGAGAGTGAAAGAAGCGGTGAGACGGCGGGTGGTAGAAGTGCCAGTCGGACGCGTCAAGGGGGAAACCGAGGAAGACGCAGGGGAGGGTGCGGGCAGTGAGCTTGTCCGTGCCAGAGGCACGAACGTGAGCAAGGCAGCCCCAGACGCGGAACGCAGACGCGTCACCAGGGGACCCGGTCCACAGAAGGGTCGGCGAAACCTGCGGCCGCTGGGGGTGCGGCCACAGGTTAAGCTGGTGAGCGGCGTAGCGCACGGCGAACGGCCACAGAAAATGGGGTGCACCGGCGTGGATCATGGAGGTGCGAGCCACCTCCATGACCAAACCGATGCGTCGCTCAGCGACCCCATTCTGCTGCGGGGAGTCCGGCAGGGTAAACGTCTGGGTGATGCCCTCCGCACGACAGAAGCGACCAAGGACACCTGAGGCAAACTCGCCACCCCGGTCGGAGTGAAGGCGCAAGGCAGGGAGACCGCGGTGGACACGAGCAGAGACAAGCCAGGGGATGAGAACGTCAGGCACATCGGCCTTCCGCTCCAGGGGGAAGACGGTGGTGTAGCGCGTGAAGTCGTCGACAAGCACTAGGAAGAAGCGCTCGCGACGCGGCCCATGGACCGGGGCTGGGCCCCAGACGTCCATGTGCAGAGTCTGCAGTGGTGCGGTGGTAGGGGGAAAAGAGGAGGAGTGAGGGGCACGGCGGAGCCGGCCCTCGACACAAGGCGTGCACGGTGGGGCGGGGGAGGAGGGAAACTCGGGGAACGAACCGGGGAGACCAAGGACGAGACCGTGCTGGGACATGTGACGCAGACGCGGGAGCGCAGGGTGACCTAGGCGGTGGTGCCAAAGGAGAGTCGGGTGAGTGAGGGACCGACAGGAGCAGGCAGCAGCAACCTGGGTAGACGCAGCCACCTGAGGGAGCGCTCCAGCCGGGGGGGTCACGGTGTCCAGAGTGAACAGGCCGGACACTGGGTCCCGGGGGAACGTGGACAGGGGGGCACCAGTGGCGGCCTCGGTACAGACAGCATACCGCTCGTGACCAGGGAACGTAGTGGTGACGCCAAGGTCCTGGAGGCAGCCGACACCAACTAGGTTCCTGGAGAACGAGGGGATATGCAGACCTGTGAGAGTGCCCGAAGGAACCGCCGGACAGGGAAGGGAGGTGGAACTGCGGGCAACGACGGGACCACCGGAGGGGTCAGCAAGAGTAACTGCAGCGGGAACAGGCAGCGGCGTCAGCGTCGTGGAGTCGCGGAAGAAACACCGGGAGGCGCCAGAGTCCAAGGTGAAGGAAAGCGCAGCAGTCGCGCGAGGCAGCAGTGAAGCGGTGGAAGCACCAAGGCTAAGCAAAGCAGGAGATCCTACGCCTGACGCAGCAGGGGAGTCTACGCTAGGCACCGCTACACTAGGCAACACGGGGTAATAAGAGGGAAGCACACTAGAGTCATCAGCATACATCACATGCAAGGCCGCTACAATGGCATCCATGTCCAAGTCAAAAATCCTAATGCTACGCCTAAGCAAGCTGTGCCAGTCCGGGAGGTCGGGCGCCGGGCCAAAGCGCTGGCGGAACAGGTCGTCCAGGCGACGAAAACAGCGAGGAGTAGAATGACCGATCTTACCGCAAACGAAGCCGCGGCGAGGACCGGTCTGGATCTGGTACTGACAGGGCCCGCCTCCAGAACCACCACCCGGTGCACCACCACGCGCACGACCACCACCAGCTCCAGGCCACCCAGGTGGGAGAGTACTCGCCTGCCTCGTCTGCGGCGGCTGCTGCGGCTGCTGCGAAGGCTGCGGCTGCGGCGACTGCTGCTGCTGCGGCTGCTGCAACTGTGGAGGCAGCGGGGCAGCTGGACCGGGCAGGGTCCCCACGTCCGCACCGGCACCGGACGACCCGCCTCCACCACTACCCCCACCCGCACCCCCGCCGCCTCCGCCGCTCCCAACCTTGGGGCGGCGGCCCTTCGCCGAGCGGGACTGCACTGCAGCAGCAGTCTCAGCCACAGCGACAGAGCCGTCGGAGAAGGTACACTGAGCGGGGGCACAACCCTGAAAGATAGGGACCGGTACTGTACCGCTCGCCAGGGCTATGGAGCGGTGACGAGTCTCTATGGCAGTCAGGGTGTCAACAAAGTCGGTGAGGGTGAGAGCAGCAGGGTGGATGCTAAGGAACTGGTCGCGGGCGGCGGCAAGGCGGTCAGGTAGGCGGGTGGCAAGGAGGTAGAGGGTAGAGGTCATGGGAGGCTGGTGGACTCTAAGCTGAGCATCAGTGCAGGCAGCGCGCCAGGCCTCATCTATCGAGCGCAGGTGGGCAGCGAGGTCAGAGACAGTGGGGAAAGACGTCAGGTCAGGAAAGAGCAGGGGAAGGATCAGGCGACCCACTGAGGCAGCAGGAGGGGTAGAATAGCGCTTGATGACAGCATCGAGGTAGGCCTGGGCGGTAGGAATGGTTCTAAAGCGAGGGCGCTCAGTGGGGGGGAGGGCATTGCTAATGGCGAGCTGAGCAAGGGCATCGCGGGAAAGCCAGACAGAGCGGGCAAGGGCAGCAGCGGCAGTGGACTCGCGCTCAGCGGGCGTGGGATCAGCGGGCAGCACAGCAGGGGGGTCAGGGCAGGGGAGCATACCGTCTAGGTGTGCAGAAAGCGGGTGGCCGTCCTGCCGCTGGCCAGTGAGGTGGCGGCGAAGGTCAGCCAACCACGCCTCGAACTCCAGAGGCTGACCCTCAACATCAAAACGAAGCTCAGCAGCCATGAGGGGCAGTGGAGGACAGTGCAGTGCGGTGCAGTGCAATGCAGAGCGGTGCAGTGCGGTCCAGTGCGGTGCAGTGCGATGCAGTGCGGTGCAGTGCGGTCCAGTGCGGTGCAGTGCGGTTAGTGCGATCCAGGGAGGTGCAATGCGATGCAAGGCGGGGCAGGAAAGTGCAGGAGGGTGCAAAGTGGTGCGGGGAACGGGGGACAGTACCAGGAAGTATGGAGGGCCGGGGCAGGTGCGTCGGGGCCGGGCAGGCACGACAAGGCCGGGCGGCGGCGACGGGGCCGGGCGGCTGCGACGAGGCCGGGCGGCGGCGACGGGGCCGGGCGGCAGCGACAAGGCCGGGCGGCTGCGACGTGGCCGGGCGGCTGCGACGGGGCCGGGCGGCTGCGACGGGGCCGGGCGGCAGGGACGAGGCCGGGCCGGACACAGCAGGGCCGGGCAGGGGCGACGGGGCCGGGCGGCTGCGACGTGGCCGGGCGGCTGCGACGTGGCCGGGCGGCTGCGACGGGGCCGGGCGGCTGCGACGGGGCCGGGCGGCAGGGACGGGGCCCGGGCAGGCCACAGCAGGGCCGGGCAGGGGCGACGGGGCCGGGCGGGCGAGCAGGGGCCGGGCAGGTGCGACAGGGGCCGGGCAGCCGCGACAGGGGCCGGGCGGGCGCCACGCGGTCGATAGGCCGCGACGGGGCCGAGCAGGGGCGACGGGGCCGAGCAGGGGCGACGGGGCCGAGCAGGGGCGACGGGGATGGGTAGGGGCGCGACGGGGCCTGGAGGGGCGTTACCAAGCCCAGGTAGGGGCGCGACGGGGCCTGGGGGGAGCGCAATGGGTCCCAGGAGGGGCGCTACGGGGCCTGGGAGGAGCGCGACTGGGCTAGGGAGGGGCGCGACGGGGCCTGGGAGGAGCGCAATGGGGCCCAGGAGGGGCGCTACGGGGCCTGGGAGGAGCGCGACGGGGCCCTGGAGGGGCGCTACCAGGCCCTGGAAGGGGCGCGACGGGGCCTGGAGGGGCGCTACGAAGCCCTGAAAGGGGCGCGACGGGGCCTGGGAGGAGCGCAAAGGGGCCCAGGAGGGGCGCTACGGGGCCTGGGAGGAGCGCGACTGGGCTAGGGAGGGGCGCGACGGGGCCTGGAGGGGCGCTACGAAGCCCTGAAAGGGGCGCGACGGGGCCTGGAGGGGCGCTACAAGGCCTGGGAGGAGCGCGACGGGGCCCAGAAAGGGGCGCAACGGGGCCCAGGAAGGGGCGCGACGGGGCTAGGGAGGGTCGCGACGGGGCTAGGGAGGGTCGCGACGGGGCTAGGAGCACGACGGGGCCCAGCTAGGGGGCGAGCGGAAGCGTGAGGGGGGGGGGATCCTACCTACGCGTGATACCATAACAAACAGTGAAATTGATGAATAGAGAGAGAGAGTACACAAACATATACCTAACAGTTGTACTCTCTAGAAGATGACCCTATACAGTCTATACAAGCATGATAACTAAACATGTTTGACACGTCAGGGTATTTTTTTTTCCTACTCTGATTTCAAAGAGTGGCCTAAAACCAATTTTGGGCCCTGACGAGGATGAGGGAATGGCAGAAGGGGAGGAGTGCAGCAGTGGTGGCGGTGACTGGGAAGATGAGTGAGCAGCAGAAACATCACCTGGAGCAGGAGAAGAAGCATCACCTGGACCAGCAGAAGCATCACTTGGAGCAGCAGAAAGAAGCATCACCTGGAAGACTCTGTCTTGTGGCCACAGCAACTGCAGCAGTGGCCAGATGATGGGACCGAACCCAAGGATCAGGGCTATGTGTATGTATGTGGATGTATTATATAACCTACTGTGAGATTGTTGTGACAGACAGACCTGTGGCTAATTCCCCCTGATATCAGTACTTCATTGCATGCAAGTTTTGGCCTAAACAGGTGCAAAGCACACATATATCAGGGTACTCGAGATTGAAGCCCTGACCAGTCAGCCTTGAATTTTTTTGGGCCTGAAAAAACGTGTCACTTCCAAACCCCGACCCTGAAAACTATGGGTTGTCGCAAGGGCGACCCTGAGGCTTCAGCCCTCCTAAAACCAATCTGAGGGCCTGCTCCACAACTACAGCCCGCCATGCCAATGCTCCCTTCCTTCCCTCAAGACACACCCCCCTCATGCCACATCAGCACCCGATAATAGTTACACCCGTGACGAGGTCCCCTCCCCTCTCATTATGCCACATCGCGTTGGTCCGAGACGACGAGTCCGGAGGCCCAGGTGGGGAAGAAGAAGGGGATGCAGCCGCGGAAGAGCAGGAGCTTGGCGATGTTCCTTGGCTGCGGCATGGGCTGGATGAGCAGCTCGTGCGTGCCGGCCTCCTCCGTCAGCACGCCCATCACCGTGATCGTCTGCCCCGCGCGGATGTACCCCTTGCACACCATCAGCTGCGGCGACAGCGCCTTGCGCCGCTTCTTCCGCTCCTCCTCCGCCCCCGCGCCCGCCTCGCCGCCCCCTGCGCCCGCCCCCGGCGCGGGGGAGTCCTCGGTGGAGAGCGGCACCTCGGTGGAGATGTGGACGAGCGGCGTGGCGACGCCGGTCTCGGCGGCGTGGAAGGCTTTGACGATGGCGCTCATGCCCGTCTGCCCGTCCGTGATCCGGAAGTCCACGGCGCGCGTCTGCCGCACGTGCTCCGTCCACGCGTCCGCCTTGCGCAGCCCCGGGTAGTACGACCGCAGACTGCTCTCCACAAGCACCAGGCCCTGAAAAGGGGGGGGGGGAGGGGGGGGGGGGAGATGGGTGCGGGCGTGGGGATGTTGGGGGAGGGGGGGAAGGGGGTGGGTGGGTGTAGATATACATGTGTGTCTTGAGTTAGAAGACGAAGCAACGGCAAGAAATTCCCAGCTAGACGGTCAATCAAACACGACAAGTATTGACCGCCTTATATCGCGTACGGCGCGGCACTCACGGGCACGTTATGGAATTCCGTGGAGAGCAGCTCCTCGTGCAGCAGCGACACGGCGCCGCGCACCACCACGGTCTGCCCGCGCCCCAGGCGGCGGCCCAGGCGCGTCTTGCTCTTGGCGTGCAGGAAGCGTTGGATCACGCGGCGAGGCCGCCCCGCCATGCGCACGTTGAACAGCAGCAGCGCCAGCCACCCGCCGCCTAGCAGCGCTATAACGAGGATGCGCTCCGTGCCCTCGAGCGAGAGCGCGAGCCAGAAGATGGCGACGAGCGCCGCGACATTGGCGGCCGTGAACGCCAGCAGCGCCAGCGCCTGCGCCACCGGCATCTTGTGCGAATCGGACACCGTGCCGATGGGCACCTGGGGGGGGCGGGTGGGGGTTGGAGGGGGGAAGGGAAGGAGGAAGGGAAAATGCGCGGGGAACGGTGAGAGATAAGGACGGGCGCAGGAAGAGAAGATCTTGCACGGCAACAAAAAAACCACGAAATGTTAGCGGCAAAAGGAAATTTAATAGGCGCACCTGGACGCGGCCGCTCTCGGCGCTCATGTTGGAGCTCGTCCCCGCGAACGACTCCGGCGCCTTGCCCTGGCTCACGCCGCCATTGCCGTCCACGTCGCCCTCCGCGCGCGCCCATGAATCCCCTTGCGGTTTGCGGGCCCCCTCCACGCCTAGTTGCGCGTACGAGGGTTTACCGAAGTTAAACATGTTGATTCTCGTATGCGGCAGTCAGCAGTGGACTATTGACGACCTTGGGAAACCAGTCAGAACCTCCTAGTAGGACCTGGATCCCTAGGTTCCTAAACTTCCGGAGATGCGCTTCAAGAAATGTGGTGGTTGTGGCCCAGCAGAGGGGAGTAGAGATTTCTTCGAGTGAGCATCTGGCAGTCGACGCCCTTGCGAGTTCACGTGGTAACTCGCGACGCTGTTCGATTCTGGTCCTCCTGGTGGCGAAGTGAGTTTTCTCCGTCTCGTGAATTCGCGACGTCTTTCGCGATCGTTGTTTTGGGGGAACGCTTCAGCAATTTGCCCTCGAGATTTGCGGAAAATCAAAGAGCGCAGGTGAGGTGATGCTGGCGCAGGCAGGTCCTCCCGCCCGCCATGCGCGCAGGTGGGAATGAGGGGAGGAGGGACTTAGAGGCGGGATAAAGTTCGATAATCTACACTTGCATCGTGCAAAACAATTCGACACGAGAGCGACAATGATTTGTGTGGAAAATCAAGCGTGAGAACAAATTTATATGAAGGAGATCTGTGCGTGTACGGACTGTCACAGGTCGCTTTTGAAGCAAGCCACTTCAAGCACTTTCTTGCGTGCCCTTGGTTTTGACTCCTCAGAAATTTCTGCTTCCCCGTGCCGTGGCTGGCTGGCAGGGGTTCTGCCTCGCTTTATCGTGAACTATTCGTGTGCTGCCCGTTACTGCTGAGTGCCCTCCGTCAACTGTCCGGTCCGTTTCCCGCCAGACAGACAGAGGCAGTCAGGCGGACCGTCGCCGGCACCCACCTCCCCCCTGTCCTGTTCTCTTCACATCCATCTGTCCCTCCCTCCCCATTGCTGAGTAAATTAGGGTTTGTCCTAGAATCGCCATGGCGCCTTAGGTCATTTCACGTTCATGCGCGAGTCATCGGTGCTCAAGAAGGTCGATCCCTGACTCCCCTCACGACCAGATAACTTACAGCAGCGTTATTACGCGGAGATGCGAGTTCCGTCTGTCGATCTGGAGCAATGCTTGCGATATCTCAAGCGCTGGGTGGCTGACCCGTCACCGGCCAGCCGTGCGCGCATAGTCTGACGGACCGTACGGGCGGAATGGAGAGGGACCCGCAGCTGCGGTTCCGGTCGCGGCGGTTCATGCCGGTGCCCATCGGCAACCCCGGGGACCTGCTGTACACGTGCATTCTCAAGGACGCGTGGGGCGCGGAGGTGTCGGCGCTGCACGACGTGCCGCTCTTCTCCTCCTCCGCCAGCTTCCACTTCGTCTGCCTCTGCCCGCGCGGCTCCACGCACGACATCGCCATCTCGCTGACAGAGCGTCTCAGCCCGTTAAAGTCACGCCTCGTTAACAGAAATCTCTCGCGGTTGTCGGAGCCGTCCCCGTGGCACTTCGGGTTGCTGCCGCAGACGCTAGCGGACGAGGAGTATCCGTCGGAAGTCGCCGGCGTCGCCAACGACAACCAGCCGCTCGAGGCGATCGAATTAGGGTTGGGCGTGCGACAGGTGGGCGACGTGTACGAGGTGCGACCCATCGGCGCGTTCGGGCTCGTCGACCCGGTCGCCAGGGTGCTTTCGTGGAAGGTGCTGGTGGTGGCGTGGGACGACCCGCTGTTCGGGCGCGCGACGGGCCTCGATGACGTGGAGTCGCTGTTTCCGGGGGTCACGGACCGCGTGCGCGCGTGGATCGCGCACCACCGCTCGAAGCCGGCACGAGGTACGCGCACGCGGCGGTGATGTGCTTCGATGCGGCAGCGAGGGAGCGAGTGAGTGGGTCACGGCATGGTCTCTGTGCCGAGGCTTCATCACGCCCGTTCCACACGTCAATCATGGCCGCATCGCCATCCGTGCCGGCATCCTAGCGGGGAAGTATTGCGATGCTTCTCGGTACCTGTGGTGATATTTTTCCTGGGTATTCACGCCACCGTGCCAGCATCACGCAATGCAATGCAATGCCGTGTCCTGATCGATTCCCCGGCCGCTTACCCTCCTACCCAAATCCGTCCCCCACCCCCCCACCCCCGCGACCCCGTCCCCCGCAGGCCCCAAGGCGCAGGCGATGTTTGCGCTGGGCGGGCGGCCGGCGTCCCCCGGCACGGTGATGCGCGTGGTGGCGGAGGCGAACGCGTGCTGGCAGCTCTTCAAGGCCACGCGCTGGCCCGATAACCCCGCGCACGCCGCCAACGCTGCTGGGCCCGCCTACGACCAGCAGCAGCAGCAGCAGCAGCAGCAGCAGCAGGGTTTAGGGCAGCAGCAACTGGAGGGGGAGGTGCGGCTGGGAGCAGGCGGGGTGGCGTCGAGCCGCAGGCGGCGCAGCAGCCGTGGCAGCAGCGTGAGCAGCGGCGCTGGGAGCGGGCGCGGGGACAGCGGAAGCGTCGTGGAGTGGGGCGGGGGGGCGCAGGTGCTGCAGATAGAGGGGGCAGTGGAGGGCGACAGAGAGGCGTACAGGGGGGCGGAGAGGCGCGAGGTGGAGAGGGTGGGGTCAGGGATGGACGGGTGGAGTGGTAGAGACGGTGCCGGCGCGCTACCAGGGCCTGCTGCTGATGATTTTCAAGGCGTTGACTCGCCAGACTTCGTTGACCGTCAGTTCGGCCGGCTTGCCCAGCCTGATCTGTCGGACGCTGCTCGCGGCGACAGCTTCGCCTTCCATGACGTCAGCTGTAGCTCCCCTCCTGAGTGTTCTTATAACGAGAGCCCGCCTCGGCTACTGCAGTCTAGAAGCGAACCAGGGCCGGCTTACATGGATGAGAGTGAGCATGAGCACGAGTTTAGGCACAGCTCGTTTGAGGAACACCACTATCCCTTCGAGGAGTACTCGTCCAGAGAACACTCGTTAGTAAGTCACTCGTTAGAAGGTTCGTTGGACGAACGAGGAATGCGGCAGCGAGCAGCAGGACCCGGCTTTGGTTGGGACAGCCCGGAGGGAACGGGGGGCTGGGGGGCGGGGGACGCGGACAGGGAGGGGGGGGGCGCGCAGGCGCATGCGCAGAGAGGGATGGAGGACGAGAGGAGGGGAATGTGGGATGGGGTGAGCGGGGGGGAGGATGTGCGGGGCGGAATGGAGGGAGGTGCGGGAGCGGAGGGCGGGTTCGTGGCACGGGAGTGGGGCGGAGAGCACGAGGGGGAGTGGCTGCAGGGCGGGCTCACGGCGGGCGCGAGAGAGCTGAGCTTCCGAGGGGACGTGGCTTGCGGCGCCGAGGATGGGCGCGGCGAGTGCGAGTGGAGGGGGGAGGGGGCGTTTGATGATGGGGAGAGGAGGGGGTCGGCCGGAGGACGCATGGACCGAGGGGAGCAGGCGGCGGCGTGGGGTGGGGGCCCGCTTGAGAGTGGTTCAGGTGGTTGTCGGGTGCTGCAGGATCGGTCGGGTGAGTTTGAGGCGCAGAGGGTGTCAGGCGAGGTGGAGGAGGCGGGCGTGCAGAGCCCGTGGGACGCGGAGTACGAGCGCGACGCGCTCATCCACTGCCACTCCGACGGGTACGCGCGCGCTGATGCCAGCTCCGACGCCGACACCAGTGGGTGGGAGGGGCGCGAAGGGGACGAGGAGGACGAGGAGGAGGGGGAGGAGGAGGGGGAGGAGGAGGGGGAGGAGGAGGGGGAGGAGGAGGGGGAGCAGAGGGAGGAGGGTGAATCGGGAGAGGAGGGAGATGGAGATGACGAGGATGGCATGTCGGTGCTGGAGAGAGACGAGGAGGAGGACGAGGAGGGGGGAGAGAGTGGCGGGGAGGAGGGCAGCGAGGAGGGCAGTGAGGAGGGGAGTGAGGAGGGGAGTGAGGAGGGGAGTGAGGATGAGGGTTACGGAGAGGGGGATGGGGAGGAGGCTGTGTGGATGGGGGATACGCAACAAGGGAACGCGGGCGCGCATGGCGTGGGTTGCCATGCCGTGGACCACCACAGTATGGATCGCACTGCCATGGATCGCACTGCCCTGCCCAGTCCTGATATGCGGCATCACGACATGGGCACTGGCCATGAGGCCATGCAGTCTAACAGGGCTATTTCCAACGAGGTGCGCAATAGAGAGGCCAATGCGAGCAGGGAGTATGAATTGGGTCAGCAGCAGCAACAGCAGCAACAGCAGCAGCAGCAGCAGGCGCAACAACAAATGCAACAGATGTTGCTGCGGCAGCAGCAACAGCAGCAGCAGCACCAGGCGCATTCGTCCCTGTCGCTGCTCCGTTCTCTCTCCCTCACCAACCGCCACCACGACCACCCCAATCACCCCAACCACCTCACTCACCCCTGCGGCTCCTCGCTCTGCTCCAGCCCCGCCCTCCCCCCCCGCGCCCACCACCCCCTGCCCGCCAGCGCGTCCAGCAGCCCCACTGCCGCGCGCCCGCTGCTCCCCTTCGCCCCGCACCCGCCTCTCAGCCATGCGTCCGCCGACCCCTACGACCGCCGCCGCTCCTACCCCCCCAACGCGCACCGCCACTCGCTCTCCCACGTGGAGCAGGTGCTCCAGGTACAGCCGCAGCAGCTGCAGCAGGGGAGGGCGCTGGGGGGGGAGGGCGGGGACTGGCAGGTGTTTAGCCGTGCTGCATGGCGTGGCGATGGCGTGGGGGGCAGGGCAGGGAGCATGGAGCAGCAGGCCAGCAGCGCAGGGGCGGACGACGGGGGGGGAGGGGGAGGGGGTGCCAGGGTATTCCGCAAGGCCAACTCCAGCTCGCCGCGCTCCCTCAACGTTAGACCCTCCTCTGCGTCCGCCTCGGGCAGCCCGAGCAATGTTTTGAGCCTGCCCCGTGGGCCGGGCAGTGCGGTGCTAGAGCGGCCGCTGGCGCCCTTGAGGCGCGACGCGGCGGCGCTCATTCCGGGGCTGCTCAGGGCGCGCGGGCTGGCGCAGGGCCGCATCACGCGCTCGCAGTCGCTGTGCCAGGGGGCCTTCGGGGACGTCTTTGCCGCGGGCTTGGGGGCGGGGGCTGCCGATGGCACGGATGCGGCTGCACGTGGTGGTGGTGCCGCTGCTGATGGCGCTGCTGGGTCGTTTGAGCGATCCGTTTCGTTCTCGTCGGCAGATGGCGGTAGGATGACGCAGCTGTGGCAGCAGCAGAGGCAGCAGCAGAGCATGTGGCAGCAGCAATCACAGCATCATTGTCAGCAGCAGCAGCAGCAGCAGCAGCAGCAGCAGGAGCAGGGGGAGGGCAGAAGGCCCCTGCCAGCGTACCCATTGCGGCTGCATCACCAGCGGCAGGCGTCGGTGCCGGCGCTCAGCCTCGCCGGCCCCGCCTTCAATGCCGCCGCCGTGCCGCCCACACTGCCCCCGAGCGCCCTCAGCTGCGCGCCCCCAACTCCCGTGAGGGACGCGCCTGCTCCCGCTGTGAGGGACGCGCCTGCTCCCGCTGTCACACCCGCTGCCTCATGCCCGCCCGCGGACGTGCCTGCTGCCCCCGCCGCCAGCGCCAGCGCCATGCCTCGGCAGCCCCCGCGCGCGCCACCGCACCAGATGCGGCGCTCGCGCTCCATGTCGCAGTCCGCCCTCGCCCTCCCCGCCCCCGCCCTCCCCTCCCCTTCCCACTCCTCCCCCTCCCACGCCGCATCACTTGCCTCACCCCCCCCGCCCCCGCTTCCACCGCCGTTGGAGCAGCAGCAGCAGCAGCAGCAGCAGTATCGGTTCTCCCCATCCCAGTTGAAGGCTTCTCATAGCTACGATGGTGCAAGTGGCATCCTCCCTTCGTCCCTGCATGACCGCACACTCAAGCCCACTCAATCACCCCTGTTACAATCACGATCTCACGGCTCAACCCCGCTACAAGCACAATCCCAGGGCTCAACCCCGCTACAACCACAATCCCAGGGCTCAATCCTGCTTCAAGCACAATCCCAGGGCTCAACCCCGCTACAAGCACAGCGTGTGACCCCCCAGCAGCGCCCCCCTCCCCCTCCTTCCCAAGACGCCTCCCTCTCTCATGACCGCTCTCTCCTCCCCCGCTCCTCCTCCTCCTCCTCCCGCCCCCTCAAGCCTCCCTGCCCCCCTCCCGCTCCCCCTCCCCACACCCGCGTCTCCTCCTCCCCGCCCCTTCCCCCCTCCCGCTCCATGCAGCGCCGCCACACCCTCCCCCCACGCGTGCTCGATGCTGCGCCTGGGGGGGCGGCAGCGGGCGGGGGGAAGGGGGGAGGGGCGGGGGGGGAACCGCAGGGGGAGACTGGGACAGTGACTCCGCGTGGGGGAGGCAGTTGGGGGGAGCGGACGAGTGGGCGGAAGGGGGGGAAGGGGTGGGGGAAGGGGGAGGGGGAGGGGGAGGGAGAGGAGGAGGACTCGTTTGTGAGGGCAGCAGTGATTGTGGCGGGGCTGGATGTGCTGGGGGGTACGGCAGCGCGGGGCACAGGCATGAGCGGTCCAGGTGCAGTGAATGTGGGGCGCCTGAGACCGGTGCAGCTGCAGCCGCAGCAGCAGCAGAAGCAGCAGCAGCTGCAGCAGCAGCAGCCGCAGCAGCAGCAGCAGCAGCAGCAGCAGCAGCAGCAGCAGCAGCAGCAGCAGCAGCAGCAGCAGCAACAGCAGCAACAGCAGCAACAGCAGCAGCAGCAACAGCAGCAGCAGCAGCAGCAGCAGCAGCAGCAGCAGCAGCAGCAGGGGGCACAGGGGCAGGATGCGAGGAGGCAGCAGGGCATGGCGGGCGCAAGGGGGTCGGTGGCTCTGCCCCCTCGCAGAGTGCGGCATGGGAGGAGTGGCAGCATGGCGGACCTGGGCAGCATGTCCATGGGTGGGGGGACGGAGGTGGCGGTGGGGGCAGCAGCAGAGAGCAGCAGCCGTGGGATGGGCATGATGGGGAGGATGGGGATGGGGACGATGGGGATGGGGACGATGGGGATGGGGACGATGGGGATGGGGAGGAGGGGGGGAATGGGTGGCAGAGAAGCAGCGGGCGCTGTAAGGCCTAACACCCAATCGCAGCCATCCTCCCCTTCTGATGGCAGCGATCAATACCCTTACCCTGTGTCAAGCAGTGCGGTGCAGATGGGTGCAAGGGGTGGGCCCATAGGGCCAGCGGCAGTGGCAGCGGGGTGGGGTGTGGGGCGGGGAAGGGGGAGAGTGAGGACTCGGAGCATGTCAGGGGACTTGTCGCACCTGCCCGTGCCCGCTCTCATGGCCGCCGACGCACCGCCGCTGCTCGCACCCCCGCACCTCCCACACACGCACGTGCCCCCCCAGCACGCCCAGGGGCCACTGCATGCAGCAGCAGGCGGGGCTGGGGCGGGGTCCGCTGCTGCTGGGCCTGTCTGCGGAGGGCGAGGCAGAGGGCGGGGGGCAGTGGCGGGCGGGAGAGGCATCGGCGGCCGGGGAAGAGCAGGAGCAGGAGGCAGAGGGCGGGGGGCAGGTTTTGTGCCTGATCGTGTGTCAGCACCCCCAGCAGCAGCAGCAGCAGCAGAAGCAGCAGAAGCAGCAGCAACAGCAGCAGCAGCAGCAGCAGCAGGGCAGGCGCCCCGTGCTCCTTCTCCCACTGGTGCTGCCGCCCCCTTCCCTCCTGCGTCTGACGCCAGTGCTCCCCCCACGCAGTCCCCTCACGCGCAGCAGCAGCGCGCCCTGCAACAGCCACGGCATCAGGGGCGGATGCAGGGGCAGGGGCAGGGGCAGGGGCAGGGGCAGGGGCAGGGGCAGGGGCAGGGGCAGGGTGACAGACGCACAGGTGATGATGCTAGGGGCGGGAAAACAGCAGCAGCACCAGCACCAGCAGCACCACCAGCAGCATCAGCAGCAGCAGCATCAGCGGAAGCAGCAGGTGGGGGGGAGGGCGAGGTGGTATTTCAGCGCTCCGTGAGTCTGTCGGCGCGCCTCTTTACCGAGGAGCAGGGCACGGGCGCGCCCATGGGAGCAGCCGTGGGGGCAGCCGTGGGGGGGGTTGGGCCGGTGCAAGGGGGGGAGCCTGGATTGGCGAGGAGTGCGCTGGCAGGGCGAGAGGGGGGAAGAGGAGGCAGGGGGGCAGGGCGGTTGGGTGCGGTGGCAGGTGATGCGGGCAGGGGGCGCGGCCGGGGGGGGTTGAGGCGGCACATGCGGTTTGCGAGTGTGGATCTGAGCAGCACCGGGGACGGGCTTGGCGTGGATGCCATGGGCGTGGGTGGCCTCATGAGGGACGTGCAGGCGCTGGACACACAGCAGCATGGGCGGAGGCATGTGCCGCCAGCGCCGCAGCAGCAAGAACGGCTGCAGCAGCAGCAGAGGGAACGGCAGGCACAGCAGCAACAATCCGACCAGCAGCAGCAGCGGCAGTCCCCTCGCCATCGCGACACATCACCACTACCTTCGCCCTCGCCCTCACCCTCGCCCTCACCATCCGCATCAGCATCAGCATCGGCGTCGCGCTCGCCGTCTCCACTGCCCCCAAGGCAGCGGCAGCACATGGTGTGCACCGTGGCCGGCATCCCCGCCTCTGACTCCCTCTCCTCCCCGCCCTCCCCCTCCCGCTCCTCTGTTCCCCCCACTCTCCCTGCCTCTTCGTCCCAGCGCGCCCTCCCTGCCACGCCCCACCCCTCGCGAGCTGCCTCATCTCCCATGCGCCCCCGCCCGCCCTCTGTGTCGCCTCCCCCTGCCCGCCCTGCCCTGGCCCACGTACGCCACCCCTCCTACATCTGGCCGCACACCCACTCCGCTGCTCCCATGCCTGCAGCCCCCACGGCTGCTGCTGCTGCAGCAGCAACACCAACTGGTGGCGCTTCTGGTGGTGGGTCCTCTGCCGATGCTGGTGCCACTGCTGGTGCACCGTCTGCAACGCCTGCTGGTGCACCGTCTGCAGCGCCTGCTGGTGTTGCGTGGGGCTCTGGCAGTGCTGACACTGCCGACGCACGCACTGCCGGCACCCCTCCCAGCAGCGGCAGTGGCAGTGGCAGCGGCAGCGAGGGAGAGGGCGAGTGGGGGCTGTCCCCCGACCGCCTGTTCATGCGGCACCAGACGACGCCGTGCCGCCTGCAGGGTGCCCACCTGCACTCCCTCGCGCCCTCCAGTGCCGCCTCTCTGGCATCCGATGCCCCGGGGTCGGAGGCAGGCAGCTCGTGGGGCGACGGCGAGCAGTGGGACGCGCACCTGGCGCTGCACGGCGCAGGGGGGGTGGGGACGGGGCAGGAGGGGCATGGTGAGGGGCAGTATCCTGGCAGCCAGCAGCAGCACGAGGTTGCATCTCACCGTTACCCTCACAGCATCTACCAGCAGCACCATGAGCAGCAGGTGCAGCACTACCAGCAGCAGCAGCAGCAGCAGCAGCAGCACGCGCCTGTGGGTCGCCACATGTCCCCTCTGAAGCCCCGAGACCCATCCGCACAGCCGCCACCCCAGCAGCACGGCAGCTCACCACTCCGCACATCCCCTCACGACCAACACATACAACAGCAACAGCAACAGCAGCAGCAGCAGCAACAGACGCAGGGCCGCACTCCATCTTCCTCGCACACGACACCCTCCCCCATCCCGCAAGCTCGCTCGCCCGCCCCCGCCCGCGCTCATGCCCCTTCCCACGCCCCTCACCACCTCACTCCCCTGCAGCGGCAGCAGCAGCAGCAGTTGCAGAAGCTGCACCAGTCACACACTGGCGCGCCAGCAGGGGCTTTCCGTAGCAGCAGCGTGGGTGCTGCTCCAAGCACCACGCCCCGCTCCTCCAACCCCCCTCTCTCTGCTCTCCCCCCAGCCTCCCCCCAACGCCCCATTCCCGGCGTCTCCCCCCTGCTTGCTGCCCGCGGTTCCATGTCTGCCCCTGCAGGGCAGATGAAACATCGTAAGACGGGCAGTGTGGACAAAGGGCCAGGGAAGCGGCGGGTCCCGGGCAGCCTGGGAAAGCTGCGGATGAACAAGGAGAGGGGGTGGTGGAGTGGCGGCCCAGGGGCGGGCAGCGCTGCTGCGCATGGCAGTGGGGCCAGCGCTGCTGGTACTGCTGCTGCTGCTGCTGCTGGTGGTGGTGGTGGTGGTGGTGGTGGTGGTGGTGGTGGTGGTGGTGGTGGTGGTGGTGGTGGTGGTGGTGGTGGTGGTGGTGGTGGTGGTGGTGGTGGTGGTGGTGGTGGTGGTGGTGGTGGTGGTGGTGGGGGTGGTGGTCGGAGCCATGTGGGGGCGGCAGGGGGCGGGGGCAAGGCGTCGGTGGCGGCGGCGCTGATCAGCCCGCGCATCGTGACCAAGTCCATCTTCTCCCGCTCCTCCGCCTCCGCCTCCGCCTCCGCCTCTGCATCCGCCTCGCCTGACGCCGACCTGCACGGGGGCGGCAGGGCCAACTGGCGGCGCCTAGTCGGCAAGCGGGGGGCGTCCCCAGGGCACCACGGGCGCGAGCACCGCCATGGGGCGGGCAGCAGCAGCGGGCACGGGGGGGTGGGAGGGGGGGTGGTGTCACGTGCGGCTCGCACTATCACGGGGTTTAAGGCCGGGCACAAGGGGGGTTCCGGGCACAAGCTGGGGTTTAAGGGTATTGGGGCCGTGAGCCTGCCGCTGATGGGCGGGGTGGGGGGACATGGGGGGATGCACGATAGCATGGGTCAGCATGTGACTGGCAGCGAGGCGGCGCTGCTGCTAGCAGCAGCAGCGGCAGCGGCAGCAGCGGCAGCAGTGGAGGTGCCGTGGGTGGCGATGGCGATGCCTGGGGAGGAGAGCGACGAGCCCCAGTCCCCCCCGGCAGGGCTGCCGTCCCCCCTGCCGTTCAGGGCGGGCAGCGAGTGGGCGGCGGAGGTGCGTGCGCGCATGCAGTGCGACGAGACGCTCAGCGGCAACTACGAGCTGTGCGACCTCGAGATCGCGGGTGCCGCTGACCCAGCGCAGGGAAAGGGCGGGGCAGAAGCAGGAGAGGCAGCAAGGACAGCAGCAGGGAAGGAGGGGGCAGCAGGAGGGGCGGAGGGAGGGGGTGGGGAGGGGCGGGTGGGGCTGCAGAACATGCTGGTGCTGGACCTGTACCCCGCGCTGCAGCCGCTCGTGCTCGGCTGCCGCAAGGCGCAGCCACGGCCCCCTGCAGAGGGGGATGAAGGCGGGGAAGGCGAGGTGGAGGGGGGGGAGGAAGGTGGGCAGGTGGACGAGGCAGAGGAGGGGGCGGAGGGCAGCAGCATGCAGGGAGGAGGTAGCGGTGTCATGGGAGGTGCTGACCAGCAGCCTGGAGTGGAGACGAATGGAGAGGTGGACGTAGGTGGGGTGCAGCAGGGGACTAACAGAGCAGCACTTGAAAGCAGCTCTGAACAGGAGGGTCAGGGCTGTGGGCAGGTGATGTCTGGGGAGGCTACACCTGTGATGGATCAGGAAGGCCCGCCTAGTTTGCAAGAGGTGGCTATTTATCAGCCCGTGCTTGTATAGTGTTAGCCGCATCTATGTAATTATGCTTCATGTGCTATAAAATTGTTACCTTAGTCTAATCCATAAGGACATATCGTGGCGTGGGTCTATAAACATCGGCCATAGCTCATCATAAATACAAGCAGTTTCATTTGTCATGCAACTTCTAATCATAAACTAGAAATAGTCGTGAGCTTTTACCGGAGAAGCCACTGGAGCTCCACTTTTCTATCTGGCAAAGCTCCCCCATCGCATTCCACCGTACCCAACCCTTCCGTAGTTCGATTCAACGCATGCCTGCTGCTCGCCCCCAACATTCCCTGCGCCACCCTCGTCACCCCCGCCCCGCTCTGGTTACCATCTTCCGACTGCTCCTGGTTCTGCTGGCACTTGGCGCGCATCAGCGCCGCGAACTGGTGCAGGGCCGCGCGCGCGGAGGGCTGCTGGGAACCGCGCAGCTGGTTGTGGAGGAACACGAGGAACTGGTTCACGTTGCTTCCGAACTCCGGCTTTTGCGCCACGCGCTCCCGCAGCCGCCCCACCGCCACGTCCCACTTGCTTAGGTTGCCGTGCGGGAGGGACGAGCGGAGGGACACCGTCAGCTGGTCGTAGCGGGCGAGGCGTTCCGCCAGGCTGAGCGCAGCGCCGGATTGTAACGCGCTCGACGGAGCTCCATGAGTCCCCAAGGTTTCCTCGTTCGGCGAGAATCTTGACGCGACGGGCTCCGCTGCGTGGTTGAACGCGGGTCGCTTCGACGATGAGCGTAGCGGCGACTTGCGATGGCTGCTATTCACCTCCTCTTCCTCCGCCGCCGCTTCCGCAAATCTCCGCTTCTTTCCTTGCGCCTCCATCCCAGGCATCTCCCCGCGGAGCGCAAGCTCGTCCGCGCGAGCCTCGTCGGCGCCGCCGCTGGTGGGGGAAGCGCGGATGGCGGTGGGTCGGAAAAGCACCTGGTCGTTGTGGATGTCGCGGGGGAGCGGCGGAAGGGGCGAGCTGGGCGACACGTTCGGATATGCGTAGTCCGCCGCGGGCCGTGCGCGGAGGGCGCCAGCGGCAGCGGCGGCGGCGGGGTTGGTGTGCGCGAGGAGCCAGGCGGGGAGGGCGGCGCCGGCGGGCCTGTCTTGGAGCAACACGCCGAGCTGCTCCTCCCGCTGCACGGGGTCGCGCGACAGCTGCTGCAGGAGCATGGCGGGCTGCGCGCGGGAAAACGTTGAATTGGAGGCTGGCTTCTGAGAGGCACTGGTGAAGGAGCGATCTAGCGGCATTGCCATGAACTCAATGGATGACATACAGCGGTCGACGAGGGAAGATCGAAGAGAGAAGATCGTATTTGTAAAGCGATGTCGAACGCGAGAGGGATTGCTTGCAAGTGTGGATGAAATTGACGCGGAAATTTCTACTTGCACTGACTCGTTAGCGGTCTGTGGGAAGGGAATCACTTTGCTCTGCTGGTTACTTATGCTGAGCTCTAAAACTCCGTGCCTAGTCAGTGAAGTAGTACAGGTTGAGCGACTTTGGGTGTGTTGGAAAAAGACCGTCCTGCATGGATCTGCGTCACTGTGCTGTCGCCCGCTCGCAGCCTACCAGAGCTCGACTCGCGGCGACAGCGCAGCACAGCGGAGAATCAGGTGGGCCAAGCAGAAGCGAGGGAGGAGGGCAAGTGACATGAGCTGCTGAGGGCGTCTACTCTGCGTCCGTTCGTTGCCCCCTTGGGTTTTCCGCACTTGCTTACGCAGCAAGGAATTTGCCTCCTCATTGGCCAATTTCGCAAAACATGACACCCGGGCCGCGCTCAAACATCCACCATGACTTGGCCGTGCCGCGGATTATTGTACTGTACTGTGGCTGGGAGGGAGCACACCGGAAGTTGGTCACGGGCGAGCTGGCCAGCCCTCCATACCACGTCAGCAGCACAGGCCTCTAGGTCGTGCTTCGCACACCTGGATTGAAAAGAGATAGACACTGGCCGATCACTGGCTGGCTGTCGGAATGTTCTTGTACGCTGGCACCACGTCACTGAGTCAACTGCATAAACACCATGGGGACCTGCTTCATGATTGGTCACACATGGCCATATGAAAAATGGTGAGGCCAACTGCATGAGAGTTTGCTGCGGTGGAGAAAGAAATGCCCGCAACGGGTGGCTGAACTTGAAACCGTGGCAGTTCCGCGCCTCGAGGGCGAAGCTGATCCGCGAAACAAGGCCAGTACCAAGGCAGCGCCCAGGCATGCGAAGCTTCGAAACGCACCTTCGCCGACAATGCGCACGGGGCTTCGGTGGCCACAAGCACGCACCACTTGCCGCACGCCTTGGTTGGTTGGTCGGGCAGCTCTCAACTGCGGCCTCAGCAAGGGCCACCTCGTCCCTGGGGCGGGCCAGAGCGTACACTGCTTGCTGGTTTGGGTGTAGCAAATAGACAGAGCAGAATCAATGAGCGACTAACGGCTATAAGTACATCAACACTACAACAACTCTATTGTTTACTACGATATGGTACACCTTTCTCCAGCATATTTAGTTGTTCGTGCAACCGTGTCATCCTCGGAAATTTCCAAAATAAGCCGCAAATTCAACATGGCGCTCGAAACACTTCAGCGGTCAACTCAAACATTACAACTGCAGTGGTATTAGCATCAGGGTTTCAACTAGGATTTTAGGCCGTCTGACGTTCAGACGGGGTTTCAAACTTTCGTCTGACCATCATACGAATTTTTTTTGCCGGTCTGGCATTTCAGACGAAACATTTGGCACGATCTGACAATTCAGACGAAACGTTGCGGGAGTTTCAGTATATAACAATGCCGAATGTGCTACATTATAGTGCTACACAAACAACTGTTACACGTCGTTAGCATCCATTGAAATTGCATCTACCGTATATGCTAAGAATAGCTGGAAAAGACTCTAGTGCTACTGATGCTCCACTACCACAACCTACATTAAGAATTAGCCTTATACTAAACCATGCTGTGCCATACCATCATCTGCCTACTCGGAGTCTAAACTATCACTTCCGACCTCCTCGATGTCATCATCATCACTGTCGCTCTCTGAGACTTGCACCTTCTTGCCCTTGCTTTTCCTCCTCCAGATTGGGCCAGCCGCACCATCATCTTCAAACACTCTGGCTGCTTCTGCTGCTGCTAACGCTTCTGCCTGCCTGGCTGCTTCTGCTGCTGCCTTTGCTGCTGCCTTTGCCGCCTTCAATGCCACCGACGTCTTGGGCCGCTTCACCTGCCGTGCGGTCTGATCCATGACAACTTCCTTGGCAGGTCGCCACTTCTTCGTTCCACGCCATCTAGCCACCATACTCCCCCAGTCCATCGGGTAGTCGAGCAGCGACACCGTCATCAAGTGGCCTAGCTTCGCATCACCGAGATTGCCGCGCTGCCAGCTTTTGATGACGTTCTGGCGGCTGAACCCGCGCTCACACTCCACTGTGCTGAGCGGCAGCACGGCACAGGCAATCCAGATGAGAACCAAATTGGGGTAGGCAGTCATCCAGTCCGGCGTGGAGAGCACGTTCTTCAGCGCATCGTGGAAGCCCAGCTCGTCGTTGTGTGTCGACATAATGGTGGTGAAACTGACGAGCTCGGCCTTCGCCTTGCCCCAGTGGACACCTGAAGGGGGGGTGAAATAGAGGCACAGAAGCCTTCGTTAAATATCTCAACCAGAAAACACCCGAGCCATGGAGACACTTACAACCCCTTGGAACTCACCCGGCAGAGTGTCGGGCGCTGACGCATCACGCTTGTAGAGGCCGCGCAGAGACTGGAGCCATTCGAGAAACTTCCGCTGGCGCCTCGCAGTGGACTTCGGGTACATCGTCTGCTTGAAAAGTCTTGTGCCGTTGAGCTTCGATAGATCCTTGAGGCGTCCCTGCAGGTGGTTGATGACACCGTTGACGACGTCCGTGGCGAGCTGCTGTAGCGACTTCAGATCCCCGTTGCTCCGCTGCCCATCCAGCGGCTTTGTGTGTAGAGTGTACGTGTGCACAATCGGCGCCCCCCGTGTGCGTCAATCCCCTCGATCGTCACGTCCTCGCCCCCCGCGTACAGATGCAGAAAGTCGGCGAAGTCCCCGTCAGGTGGGCCGAACTGTGTGTTGTAATTTACGTAGCGTGCGCGCAGTGTAACGACAGTGTTGTCGACCATCCGAAGAACCTGGGTGACATCGACCTGCCATACAAAGACAGAAAGGGGAGATGGTTTTGCTCGTTAATCATCACTCTCCTAAAACCGACGACATGACACCATGTGGCTTACCTGGCGACGCTGGAACTTGAGGTTGAGCGTGTTCAGCTCCCGCAGCATATCCGCCAGAAAGTACAGCAAGAAATGAAATTTCAACGAGACAACTACGTGATACATCTTCCTATCATACTCGTACAGCAGGAGGATGGCCGCGGGAAACACATCAACAAGCCGTTGGATAGCCTCACCGCGACTAAGCCAACGTATCTGGTGAATGCCTTGCATTTCGAGGTTAGTTTCAGTGACGACTTCCTGCAGCTCCTTGAAACGGTTGTGTACGACGATGGACCGGCCGAGCACCTCGGCCAATGACCGCACGACCTTGTCGACGATGCCTAAGTCCGGGAAATCATCTGCAGTGTCCTTGGCAGCAAGAGCCTCCCTGCAGATTAACAGAAACACTTAATTAGTTTCGAAATAATCTTTTAAAATATGCATTGTTATAGAATGTTAGAATCACCTATGCGCGATGCAGTGGCAGGAAACTAGGTGTGGAATACGGGTGCGTAGCCTAGCCACGAGGCCTGCCTGCGCACCCGTCATCACACTGGCTCCATCGGTGCTGATGCCGCAAATCTTGTTGAGCTCGACGCCCTGAGACTCGAGGTGGGTGAGTAGAACGGCCTGCAGAGATGCGGCGTCACACTTCTCGACGGTGAGATGCCCGAAGAACTCTGTCACCACCGTCGTGTCGCGGAGGAAGGTAAGGTGAACAATCATATGTTTACCCCGCCGGCGGTCGGTTGACTCATCTAGTTGGATGCCCAAGAATGGTGAAGCCCTGATGTGGGTCATTTGCTTGGCTCGCAGGTAAGTGACGATGTTGTCGACCACCTGATTGAAACCGTACCTGCGCATGCATAATAGTACAGTGTCAGCCTTCTAGAAAGCACGTAACAAATCAACAGTATATCGGGTTGGTATCACGTATAACACTTACTCGCTCTGGTAGGTACCGTTGTCCTTCACGGGTAGGTCTGGTGTTCCCTGCTCTGCCATGAACTGGACAAGTGACACAAACAACACAACGGGGGCGTCAGATTTGCAAAGGAACATCACAATCGCCATGAGTCGCTTCAGTCGCTTTGCCTCATCGTTCCCGTTCTCGAAGTCGACGATGGACTTCTGTTTCGCATTCTTGCCATCCTTCTGCTCCTTCCGTGCCATCGCCGCCTCGTGCTTTTGACTGTGGTGGTGCTTGCGCATCGTCTGCTTCTGTATGTAGATGCCGCCCTCACCGTTGCGCCCATACTGGTAGTTGGGGTCGTTGTTGTACCCCATACAGATGCTACACTTCATGCATGGACGCCCCTCAGAGGTCTCGGAAATCAGCAGCCATGGGAAATACCGCTGCCACTGCTCCTTGGCTTTCAACTGGAGCTCGGCGACTGTGAGGGGAAAGGGACCATCGTCGTCGTCGGAGTCGGCGGGAGATGCTTCGGAAGACCGGGATTGCACCTGGACAGAGGGTGTAGACTGAGCCACCGCTGGTCGGGCAAACGTAAGCTTGCGCTGTCGATACTTCTTGCCAGGAGCGCGAACTGGTAGGACAGGACCGCGCGTCACGCGTGAAGGGGAGACGGCTCGCACGGTTGAGCAGCCAGGTGTTGACGACGGGTTAGGCGACGTTGGAGCATCACACGTAGAGTTTTCTTTGTCAAAGAAAACCCACGGCTCGTCGTCTAAGGGTGGGAGAGGCGACGGAGGTGCTTCACCCACGGCTGTAACCGGAGCATCGCCGCTGACGGCTCGGTTCAGCGCGCCAGTGAGGAGATCTAGACCACTAACAAGCGGAGGGGTTGAGCCAGGGGGCTCAAAGCCTACTATTGACTGCCTAACTTGGGAGGGGATCGACTGCGCTCTCTCTGACGCCATCGCTGTCTAGCCACAGAGCTAGAGGGCGTCTAGGCAGGGTGTGCACCGAGCAAGATTGGAGCCATGCTGAGGGGGCTGGAAGAACGAGGTGGAGCAGGACAAGTGGCTATGAGGCTTTTCCCTTGGTGCCTTTACGACCAGGCGCCTCGCTGAGCTGCAACATGGCGAGCGAGGTTGCTGCATGGCTACGAAACAGCTATGCATTGCTGGCTCGCGGTGGGTGGCTTTCCTGGCCGCACCACTGTGCGCTGGCACATTGCTGCTAGCTTCAAGATGCAAGGAAGCTGGCAGCCGTGCAAATGACGCACTATCGGACGAGCGATTGGCAGCAACTTGAGTCAGGTTGCTGCCGATTTCATTTCGTGACTATGCGCTGGCCGTCGCGGTGCGCGTGGAAATGAATGCACCTGCCCACCGACCAGGACCAAGATGGCAGAGTGTGGGCCATTGGGCAGGTGACCCATTGGCACAGTGGGATAAGGGGTGATTGCTGTCAGACGAAATTATACGCGCTATCTGACATTTCAGACGAAAAAGTACACCAAGTCTGAACTTTCAGACGAAATCTTATGACTCAGATGGACAATCAGATGAAAAAATTCACCCCGTCAAAAAATCAGATGAAAGCAAAAAAACAGGTCTGATTTTCAGACCATCAGACGGATTTCGTCTGATATCTGAGACCCTGATTAGCATGTGTGACTAGGGTGCCAGCACGAATGCCTACATAGAAGTTGCAGTGAGTAACACATACTGTACTGTGTACCTATTTTCTGAAAGGGTGGTGGAGCTGCCTTCGGAGCAGTGGTCAGGACAGCACACCTGGTTGAACTCCTCCTGATTGCTCCCATAACATCTGGACGAGCTTGTATGTAATAAATGATTATAGTCTCAAAGGAAAACTGAATAATAATTGACTAGAAAGAATTGTACAAGGACATATATCTAAGGGTTGTACTCTCTAAGAAATGACCCTATACAGTCTATGCAAACATTGTAGATAAACATGTTTGACACACCCCCTAGACTGCGTAGGGGCAAGTTCTGAACAAGCAGCTCAGGGCGGCACTACTAGTCCAGCCTCTGAGACAAGGGTCTAAAAGACCAGTCAAAAGGAGTACAGACAAGACAAGAACAAGACCAGGACGGCACTACTAGTCCAGCCACTAGGAGAGGACACAAGTCCAATCTGAGTACATATGCAGACATATATAGAATAGTACAAGGTCAAGGTCCTAGCAAGTGAGAGGCTACAGGAACTAGACCCAGCTGTACACAGTGCCTCCGATGATCTTTAGGCGCAAGCGCCTTCGTAAAGATATCAGCTGTGTTGGCACCAGAGGCCAAGTGAACTACACGGGCCTGGCGGCGCTGCTGTAGCTCGCGCAGGAGAAAGTACCGCAGCTGAATATGCTTCGCTCTGCCCTCAAGCCGAGGCTCCTGACACAGGAGGATCATGGCCCTGTTGTCAGCGTACAGGACCGGGGCAGAGCTAGGCCGCTCACCTAAGTCAGTGAGCAAGAAGGTCAGCCACCGGAGCTCCTGTGCCGCCATGGCACCCACGTAGATCTCAGCCTCACAGCTGGACTGAGCAACAGACGATGAGCGAGTGGATCTCCAAGAGATAGCACCTGACCCAAGGCTAAAACAGTAGCCCTGAGAGGACCTGAGAGTCTCAGAGTCGTCTGCCCAAGAAGCGTCTGTGTGCCCAGTAAGGACCACTGACCTGCGTCCTCCTAGCACTAACCCCATGCCCGCTGTACTTGCTAGATATCGCAAAACCCTCTTAGCGGCCGACCAGTGCTGTGGTCGGTGTCTGCCAGTGGCCACAAAGCAAGCTAGGATGCTGAGAGGGTATGCGAGATCTGGGCGAGTGCAAGTCATCAGGTACATGAGGCAACCCACCAGCTCTGCGTAGGGGCCACTGGGCTCTACTGGCTCCTCAGGAACGGGAGCGGAGAGCCCGTGGTCTACGGGTAGAGGTGTGGGCTGTGCAGAGGAGAACTGAAGGCCGAACCTCTGAAGGACCTGACGCACCAAGTGTGACTGTGTCAGAGTGATGGTGCGTGCTGCTCTGTCCCTAGAGATCTGCAGGCCAAGATAGCGACGCAGCTCTCCAAGGTCAGTGCAGGTGTGTCTCTTCAGCAGCTCGGCCTTCACTGAGGCCAGTGCGTCCTTGTCAGCAGTAGCAAAGACCAGGTCGTCTACGTAGACAAGGATGTAGAACGGAGTCTGGCTGGACCGCACAAAAAGCGAGGGGCCAGAGGACGACGGAAAGAACTGCAGGTCTGCTAGTGTGGCACGCAGCGTGTCGTGCCACTCGCGGGGAGCCTGGCGCAGGCCGTAGACCGGGCACCTGAGAAGCCACTGGGTCCCAGGGGGGAAGGTACCAGCGAAGCCATGTGGTCGGCGCAGGTAGACCTGCTCGTGTAGGCTGCCCTGAAGAAAGGCAGTAGAGAAGTCGAGGGAGTGAAGCTCGTAGTCGCGCTGTGCTGCTACGTGTAGCAGCGCCCGAAGAGTGGTCATCTTCGGGGTCGGGGCGAAGGTCTAGAAGAAGTCCACCCCCTCGCGCTGATTGAAGCCTCTGGCCACGTAGCGCGCCTTGAAGACAGGCGGCTCTCTAGGGGGGCGCTTCACCTTGAAGAGCCACCGACCATCGACTACGTTCACCCCAAGTGGGGGAACTGCGTCGACGTAAGTGCCGGTGGACCTCCAAGATGCCATCTCCTGCTCCATGGCAGCTATCCACTGAGAGGCCCAGGGTCCCGAAGTGGCCTCAGCGTAGGTGCGAGGGGTCGGGATGTCCAAGGCGTCTGGGTCACCCTCAGGGACTAGGAGCATGGAGCAGAGATGGGGAGCGGCCTCGGAAAGGAAATCAAGCTCGTACTGCCTGTCCTCTAGAACGTCACTGCCAAGGGCAGGTGCACCCCCGACAGACGGAGGACGGGCAGGGTCAGAGGCCAGAGCAGTAGCGTAGTCAAGGCGGCGGGTAGAGGCGGCGGGTAGATGCGAAGTCAGCGACAGTAGCGACAAGCGCGTCAAGGCGCGAGACGGGAACAGAAGGGTCGGTAACAAGAGAGGCAAGAACCCGAGGGACAAGGGGACGAGCGGCACGGAGGTAGTCAGAGAACGGAGGAGGCAAAACAGCAAGGGACGAGGGAGGAGGTGACGGGAGGAGGGGAGGACGAGACGAGTGGGAATGGAGCAACATAGGGTGGGAGCGCAGGACAGGAGAGACGGGACGAGCACGGGAGGGACGGCGAGACCAAACGTGCGACGGAGGTGTAGGGTCAGTAGACAGTGGAGGGGACACAGGAGGAGAACGAGGAGGAAGCCGGGCCGGAGAAGAGTTCGGCGGCGGGAACACAGGACCGTAGACAGGAAGGTCAGCAGACGGCGGGGAAGACACCGGGGAGCGGTATGGGGAGGGAAGGCCGAGCAGGCGGAGAGCGGAGACCGGCGGCGACTGTGCCGGAACGCTCGGACTGGCAGAGGGAGGACGACCGGTGGCGGAACCCTCAACAGCAGCACCCCCAGAACCAACACCCCCAGAGCGAGGACCTCCTCCAACACCAGCGGCACCCCCAGAAGCTGCAGGACGAACACCCTCCTCCACGCGAGCAGTCGCAGGGGCCAAGAGCGGCGGCAGCAGCGACGACGGCAGCGACGGCGGCAGCGGCAACAGCAGCGGCGGCGGTAGCGGCAACAGCAGCGACGGCGGCGGCGGCTGCGTCAGAGGGGGCGACTGCGATTCGTGGAGGCGAAGACACCGGGGGAGGGGGACACGGCACGGACGGGCCAGGTGTACCACCAGAGTCAGCGGACTCCTCAACGGGGACAACCGACGGGAGGGGAGTGACGTGAGAGACACCAGACGGGGCAGGGCGAGGCGGGGGAGGCGCAGGGGCTACCGGGGGAGAGGGAGCAAGGAACAGGGGCGGGGCAACCGGGAGACCTCGGTGAGGGAAGCGACGGTAGTAGGAGACAGACTCGTCAAAGGTGACGTCACGAGAGTGGAGGAAGCGGTGAGACGGGGGGTGGTAGAACAGCCTGTCAGACGAGTCGAGGGGGAAACCAAGGAAGACACAGGGGACCGTGCGGGCAGTGAGCTTGTCCGTGCCAGAGGCATGAACGTGAGCAAGACAGCCCCAGACGTGGAACGCAGACGCGTCACCAGGGGACCCGGTCCAAAGGAGGGTCGGCGAAACCTGTGGCCGCTGAGAGCGTGGCCACAAGTTAAGCTGGTGAGCAGCGTAGCGAACAGCGAACGGCCACAGAAAATGGGGGGCATCAGCATGAATCATGGAGGTACAAGCAACCTCCATGACCAAGCCAATGCGGCGCTCAGCAACCCCATTCTGCTGTGGCGAGTCCGGCAAGGTGTACGTCTGGGTGATGCCCTCGGCACGACAGAACTATCCAAGCCGACCAGAGGCGAACTCGCCGCCACGGTCAGAGTGGAGACACAACACGGGGAGACTGCAGCGAAGACGCGCAGCCACAACCCACGGTAGAAGAACGTCGGGCACGTCGGCCTTCCGCTCCTGAGGAAACACCGTGGTGTAGCGCGTGTAATCATCGACGAGCACAAGGAAGTAGCGCTCACCGCGCGGTCCAGGGACGGGGGCAGGGCCCCAGACGTCCAGGTGCAGGGTCTGGAGGGGGGCAGTCGCAGGGCGCAGCGAGGAGGAGTGAGGAGCACGGCGGAGGCGGCCCTCGATGCAAGGCGTGCACAGTGGCGCAGTCGAGGGAGGAAGGGCAGGGAGCGACGCGGGGAGACCTAAGACAAGACCGTGCTGGGACATGTGACGCAGACGAGGGAGAGCAGGGTGACCTAAGCGGTGGTGCCAGAGAAGGGACGGGTGAGTGAGGGAACGACACGAGCAAGCTGCAGCGACCTGGGAGGACGCACCAACCGGGGGGGAAGCGGTGTCGAGGGTAAACAGACCGGACACCGGGTCCCGACAGCAGCAGGTGTAGCAAGCGGCGTGAGCGCGGAGCGGTCGCGGAAGAAGCAGGCAGAAGCACCGGAGTCGATAGTGAACGACAGCGATGCAGTGGCGGAGGCCGGGAACGGGGCCGGTGCAGAGACTGGGCTAGGCAAACTAGGTAGTCCTACGCCTGACGCAGCAGGGGAAGCTATGCTACACAAGGGTGCAACACCTAAGTTGGAGAACACAGGATAATAAGATCCAGCAATACTAGCAGCGTCAGAATACAAAGCATGCAACGCACCACCTATCTGATCCATGTCTAACTCAAAGATCGGCATGCCCTGGCGGAGCAGGCTGTGCCAGTCAGGGAGGTCCGGGGCCGGGCCAAAGCGACGACGAAAAAGATCGTCAAGGCGGCGAAAACAGCGGGCAGTCTGGTGCGGGCGGCGACACAGAGTGCCGCGAAGAGGCCCGGTCTGAAGCTGGTACTGGCAAGTCACAGCACCGGAGCCGCTGGTAGACTCCGAGCTGCGCGGGCCGCCACCACGGCCACCACCTCCGCTGGTGCCAGGCCAACCAGGCGGGAGACGAGCCCACTGCTGCGGCGGCTGCTGCTGGGGCGACGGCTGCTGCTGGGACGGCGGCGGCGGCTCGGGCTGCTCCTGCTGCGGCGGGGGCTGGTGCTCCTGCCGACCAGTGGTAGACCCTGCAGGCGGACTACCGTCAGTACCACTAACACCACCACCACCACCTGCGCCACCACCCCGACCTCCCTGGCGACCACGGCTACTGCGGCGCGAGCGCTGCTGCGGGTGGACCGCAGCAGCCGTCTCGGTGGGAGGGGGCACTGTGGCGACTGCAGCCGAAACGTCAGTGAACGTGCACTGGGAGGGGGCACAGCCAGGAGGTGCAGCAGGACCGGGCAAGAGCGGCGAGGCCAGGCA